CCAAACCTGGCGACTCTTTTTAAGAGTATTTTTTTCCCCTCCCTTCTCCATTTTGAATCTCTTATAGCCTGGAGATGGATGGTGCCGACTTAACAGAGCGCAGTTTTAAAATTCTGCTCTGACTTAACCTACATTTTCCAAAAGGGCTTTCTGCTCTCTTTTCTTTGCCTTTTTTTGGGGGGGGGTCTTCAGGATTCACTTTCCGCAGGTCAAGAGTTTGATTAAAATTTAAATCAAGCCCCTGGCAAACGGCCTTTGATTCTATCTATCGCATTAGCAGCAGAAGGAAAAATGGGGGAAAAAACCTGAACGGCCGGGGGGGGGGGAACAATGAATTTTGGGGCCAAATGCAAAAAAAAAAAAGTTTTAAAAGAAAAATCTAAATTTTGGGAAGGAAATACAGGAAGTCCTCAACTTTCGACCGCAACAGAGCCCCCAAAAATTTACGTTGCTAAGCGAGACATTGGTTAAGCGATTTCCCCCCCCCCCTTACAACTTTTCTTCCCACCGTCGTTAAATGGATTCCTGCAGCTGAGTGGTATTTCTGACTTCGGGCAAGCAACGTCCATTGGGGGGGAAGCTGGATTCACTTAACAACCGAGTGACTCACTTAACGCTCGCAGTAATTCACCGTGGCGGGAAAGGTTGTAAAACGGGGTAAAACTCACTTAGCAACATAAATTTGGGCTCAATTGTGGTCGAGGGATACCTGCGGATGGTTTAAGAAGAGACTGTCTGAAATGGTATAGAGTTTCCTGCTTGAGCAGGGGGTTTGGACTAGATGACCTCCAAGGTCCCTTCCGACATCATCATCATTATTATTGTTATTAGTCTGAAATGGTATAGGGTTTCCTGCCTGAGCAGGGGGTTGGAGTAGATGATCTCCAAGGTCCCTTCCAACTTTATTACTACTACTACTACTACTACTACTACTACTACTGCTACTATTAGTATGAAATGGTATAGGGTTTCCTGCCTGAGCAGGGGGTTGGACTAGATGACCTCTAAGGTACCTTTCAACTTTTTATTATTATTATTATTACTACTACTACTACTACTACGTAATAATAATAATAATAATAATAATAATAATAATAATAATAATAATAATTACTACTACTACTACGTAGTAGTCTGAAATGGTATAGGGTTTCCTGCCTGAGTAGGGAGTTGGACTAGATGACCTCTAAGGTACCTTCCAACTTTAATAATAATAATAATAGTCTCATGACTTGGAAGGAGGGCGAAGGGAATCCTTACTCTTTGGAGCAAAGTGTGAGAATGAGGACTTTGGGACGTTATTACGGATACTCTTGTATGTGATCAGTAGTTCCCTTTATACAGGCAGTCCCCTATTTACAGCGGTTCATTTAGTGACCGTCTGGCGTTAACAATGGGTCTGCGAAAAGTGGCTTAAGACCATTTTTCACATTTACAACTGCTGCGGTATCCCCCCACGGTCAGTTAGCTAGGCTAGGCAACCTTGGCTCTTTTATGACTCGTGGATTTCAACTCCCAGAATTCCTCAGTCAGCATGAGGGAATTATGGCCCCTTCATGACTCGTGGACTTCAACTCCCAGAATTCCTCAGCCAGTTTGAGGGAATTATGGCCCCCTTTAAGACTCGTGGACTTCAACTCCCAGAATTCCTGAGCCAGCATGGGGGAAACTATGGCCCCCTTCATGACTCGTGGACTTCAACTCCCAGAATTCCTGAGCCAGCATGGGGGAACTATGGCCCCCTTCATGACTGGTGGACTTCAGGAATTCTGGGAGTTGAAGTCCATGAGGCATAAAAGCGCCAAGGTTGCCCACCCCTGGTCTAGGGTCTCCTTCTGGCCAAGGGACAGACACGGTTCTGCCTTGGCTGAAGCTCAGATTCTGAGGGGCTCTCCAGGACAAGGTGCCCTGTTTTGGGGGGGGGCCTCTGGGGGTGCCGCATCCAGAATTCCCAACCGAGGGGCTGGCTGGGGAATTCTGGGAATTGCAGAGCTTATGCACCTGGGGAGGGAGCAGGGAGCAGAAGAAGGACCTAGAGATGAGATGTGGATCCTTCTTTGCTGGAAAAGCTCTAGAATTCTTTTTCTTTCTTTTCCCCTTTTTTCTCTTTTTTCTTTCTGTTTCTCTCTCTTTTCTCTTTTTGCCTCTTATCTTTCTCTCTCTCTCCCTTCCTTCCTTCTCTCGCTTTCTTTCTGCCTGTCATCACTTTCTCTCTTTCTGTCTGTCTCTGATTTTTCTCTTTCTCTGCCTCTCATTTTTCTCTCTCATTCTCTCTCTGCCTCTTTCTTTCCTTTTTCTTTCTTTCTTCTGTCACTTTCTCTAGCTTTCTTTCAGCCTGTCATCTCTTTCTTCTCTCTTTCTGTCTGTCTCTGATTTCTCTGTTTCTCTTTTTCTCTCTTTGCCTCTCATTTTTCTTTCTTTCTCGTTCTCTCTTTCTCACTTTCTCTCTCTGCCTCTTTCTTTCCTTCCTTCCTTTCTTTCTTCCTTCTGTCACTTTCTCTCGTTTTCTTTCTGCCTGTCTTTAACCTCTTTCTGTCTCTGATTTATCTTCCTCTCTCTTTTTTTTCTCTCTCTGCCTCTCACTTTTCTTTCTTTTTCTCTTTCTCTTCCTCTTTCCTTCCTTCCTTCCTTCCCTTCCTTCCTTCCTTCCTTCTTCTGTCACTTTCTCTTCCTTTCTTTCTGCCTGTCACCTATTTCTCCTCTCTTTTGGTCTCTGATTTATCTTTCTCTCTCTCTTTCTTTTTTCTCTCTCTGCTTCTCACTTTTCTCTTTCTTTTTCTCTTTCTCTCTCTCCTTCCTTCCTTCCTTCCTTTCTTCCTTCCTTCCTGTCACTTTCTCTCGCTTTCTTTCTGCCTGTCACCTCTTTCTCCTTCTCTCTTTCGGTCTCTGATTTATCTTTCTTTTTTCTCTCTCTGCCTCTCTCTCTCTTTCACATTACTGCCTGTCACCCCTTTCTTTTTTCTTTCTTTCTGCCTCTCAGCTCTTTCTTTCTCTCTCTCTCTCCCTCTCTACCCACAGTGCCAATCTGGACCCCCACCGCAGAGGTCCCTCAAATAAGCTGTGGGGGGGGCAACCTTCTGCTTGATCTTTTTAATTTCCCCCCCCCCCCCCCCCCCCCCCGTCGGAGAGGCTGCCAGAGACCTCAGGCTAAGCTTGACAGGGTGACGCCTGGAGAGGTTCTTGTGTTGCCCTGTCTGCACTCATCTAATTAAACTGGCACCTTGCCCGGGGTTGAGCAAGGGCAACCGGGGGGGGGGGCAGCCACGGGGCAGAAGCAGGTAGAGGAGGCGGGGGGGGGGAACTCTCTGCAAGGTTGGGCATCCCAGGGGGAGGGGTCCTCTTCTGTGGATATTATAACCCACCGAGAAATCAATCCAAGTAGCAGATTAATAATAATAATAATAATAATAATAGTAGTAGTAGTAGTAGTAGTAGTAGTAGTAGTAGTAGTAAAGTTGGAAGTAAATAGTAAATTTGATAGAGAAGAATTGATCCTGGTTTCCAGGAGACCAGCTTCTCTCAACCGTAGCTATTTGGAAGATGGGTGGATTGCAAACTCCCAGAATTCCTCGACCAGCAGGAGAGAAAGAGAGGAGGAGAAAGAAAGAAAGAAAGAAAGAAAGAAAGAAAGAAAGAAAGAAAGAAAGAAAGAAAGAAAGAAAGGAATAAGAGAAAAGAACAGAATAAAAGAAAATAAAATTCTGGAAGGAAGTCCACCCATCTTCAAGTTGCTAAGAAAGAAAGAAAAAAGAAAGAGAAAGAAAGAAAAGGGAAGAAGGAAGGAAGAAAGGAAAGGAAGGAAAGAATGAATGAATGAATGAATTCTGGGAGTTGAAGTCCACCCATCTTCAAGTTGCTGAGAAAGAAAGAAAGAGAGAGAAAGAGAAAAGGAAGGAGGAAAGGGAAGAAAGAAAGAAAGAAAGATTGGGTGAGAAGGAGGAAGGAAGGAGGGAGAAAGAAAAAAGAGAAAGAGTGAAAGAGAGAAAGAGAAAGAGAAAAGGAAGGAGAAAAGAAAGGGAGGAAAGGGAAGAAAGAAAGAAAGATTTGGTGAGAAGGAGGAAGGAAGGAGGGAAAAAGAGAAAGAAAGAAAGAAAAAAGAAAGAGAAAGAAAGGAAGGAACAAAGAAAGAAAGAAAGAAAGAAAGGGGAAGGAAGGAAGAAAAAGAAAGAGTAAGAAAAAAAGAAAGAAAGAGAGAAAGAAAGAGGAAGAAAGAAAAAAAAGGAAAGAAGGAAGGAAGAGGAAGGAAGGAAGAAAAAGAAGAAATAAAGAAAGAAGGAGGAGAAAGAAAAAAAGAAAGAAGGAAGGAAGGAAGAAAAAGAAGGAAGGAGAAAAAGAGAAAGAGAAAGAGAAAAAGGAAGGAGAAAAGAAAGGGAGGAAAGGGAAGAAAGAAAGGGAAGAAAGAAAGATTGGGTGAGAAGGAGAAAGAAAGAAAGAAAGAAAGAAGGAAGGAAGGAAGGAAGAGAAAGAAAGAAAAAAGAGAAAGAAAGAAAAAAAGAAAGAAGGAAGAAAGAAAAAGAAGGAAGGAGAGAGAAAGAGAAAGAGAGAGAAAAAGGAAGGAGAAAAGAAAGGGAGGAAAGGGAAGAAAGAAAGATTGGGTGAGAAGGAGAAAGAAAGAAAGAAAGAAGGAAGGAAGGAAGGAAGAGAAAGAAAGAAAAAAGAGAAAGAAAGAAAAAAAGAAAGAAGGAAGAAAGAAAAAGAAGGAAGGAGAGAGAAAGAGAAAGAGAGAGAAAAAGGAAGGAGAAAAGAAAGGGAGGAAAGGGAAGAAAGAAAGGGAAAGAAAGAAAGATTGGGTGAGGAGAAAGAAAGAAAGAAAGAAAGAAAGAAAGAAGTCCACCCATCTTCCAGTTTGCCGAGGTGGTGGAGAAAAACTGGCTAATTCAATGCTCAAATCTGTGCAAATAAAAACAATAACACAGAGGAGGGGGGGGGTCCTCAAACCGTCACTAACCTGGCCTCCTGTCCCCCCCCCCACGTCCCCCCCTTGTCTCCCCCCCCCACAGCTCTTATCCTGCTCTTCTACTTTGTCTTCTACGCCTTTCTGACGGCCCTCTTCTGCCTCACCATGTGGGTCCTGTTGCAGACCGTAGACCCCTTCCTGCCTAAGTACCAGGACCGCCTCTCCATCCCAGGTGAGTCTCTCCTCCATCCCTCCGCCCAGGTGGGAGGAACGGCCCCGTTTCCCGTCAACTCCCTTCCGCCCGGCCTTGTGGAAACCCCGGTGAGAGGTTTGGCGCTCCGTAAAAGCCTCTTCGCAAGACCGAGGCTGGGGGGATAAGCCCCGGAGATATCCCAGGCTGAGGCTTATGGGTTACGTTTGAGGAAGGCGCTGTGGCATGGGTAGCGGAGACGGGACCTTCTCGGACATGCTGAAGGGACCTGTCTTAGGTAGGGGGCTGGACTAGAAGACCTCCAGGGTTCCCTTCCAGTTCCCTGGTTCTATGAGGCTTTGGGGCGGGGTGGGTGGGGGGAGACAGCCAGGAATGTGCCCTTCCCAAACCCCCTGAACCATGGTTTAATTCTGGCTTGCAACCAGCCAATGGGCTGGGCGGAAGAGTCAGGCAGAACAGGGATTTAGTAAGAAATAAATGCAAAATAATGTTTTGTCTCTTTCACCAACTTTTGGGAAAGCACAAAGGAGACCCAGCAATGTGGGTGGGTGGGCTCCAGGCAACCCTGAGGCCCCCCCCCCACTCCCTGGGCTGCCCCACTGAAATGGGGAGGGGAAAATAGAATTATGGGATGGAAGGAGGCTATGCCGGGGTTGGGGTGGGGCTGGCCCTCAACTCAGTCTGCTGTTTGTGTTTATTTTCATTATGTTATTTTAACTTGTTTTCTATTTTATCTGACATTTATTTGATACTTGTGTATGTTTTTTTTATTTTATTTCACCTTACCTTTTACCTTTCTTTTTTTAATCTTCCGTTTTGTCTTTTATTTTATTTGTTTTAACTTTATTTTTTTTTACGTTTGGCATTTTCTTTTATCTCACATTTCGTTTTTCGTTCTCTTTTTTTTTTTATCATATTCGGCATTATCTTTTATATCTTTCCTGGGGTCTTATTTTTGATTTTGATTTTACATTACATTTTGTATTATATTTTACCTTTCCCCCCATTTGACTTCTTTTTATATTCTATGTCCTATTTGTTTCATCTTTGATTTTTTAAAAATTATTTTATCTTTTTGACTTTTAATTATTTAATGTTTTATTTTTTAAATTTTTATTTTATTATTTTTTTCCCCCCTGTCTTTAATGTCAGGCATGATGATCCGTCCCAGGACAGACACTCTGGAGATCACCTATAATCTAACCAAAACAGAATCTTGGGATAATTATGTGAAAATGCTCAATACTTTTTTGGAAGGTAAGCGATGGAAAGGAGCCAAGCTTTCCTTCCTTCCTTCCTTCCTTCCTTCCTTCCTTCCTTCCTTCCTTCCTTCCTTCCTTGTGATAGTTTTCTTTCTTTCTTTCTTTCTTTCTTTCTTTCTTTCTTTCTTTCTTTCTTTCTTTCTTTCTTCCTCCCATCCTCCCTCTTCCTTCCTTCCTTGTGATAGTTTCTTTCTTTCTTTCTTTCTTTCTTTCTTTCTTTCTTTCTTTCTTTCTTTCTTTCTTTCTTTCTTTCTGCCTCCCTCCCTTCCTTCCTCCCTTCCTTCCTTCCTTCCTTCCTTCCTTCCTTCCTTCCTTCCGAGTGGTAGTTTGTTTTCTTTCTTTCTTTTTCTGCCTCCCTCCTTTTTCCTTCCTTCCTCTTCCTTCCTTCCTTCCTTCTCTTTTTTTGCTCTCTTACTCTCTGTCTATTTCTCTTTGTCTTTATTTCTTCCTGTCTATTTTTCTTTCTTTTCTTTCTGCCTCCCTTTTCCTTCCTTCCTTCCTTCCTTTTCCCTTTCTTTCTTTCTTTCTTTCTTTCTTTCTGCCTCCCTCCCTCCCTCCCTTCCTTCCTTCCTTCCTTCCTTCCTTCCTTCCTTCCTTCCTTCCGAGTGGTAGTTTGTTTTCTTTCTTTCTTTCTTTTTCTGCCTCCCTCCTTTTTCCTTCCTTCCTCTTCCTTCCTTCCTTCCCTCCTTCCTTCCTTCCTTCTCTTTTTTTGCTCTCTTACTCTCTGTCTATTTCTCTTTGTCTTTATTTCTTCCTGTCTATTTTTCTTTCTTTTCTTTCTGCCTCCCTTTTCCTTCCTTCCTTCCTTCCTTTTCCCTTTCTTTCTTTCTTTCTTTCTTTCTTTCTTTCTTTCTTTCTTTCTGCCTCCCTCCCTTCCTTCCTCCCTTCCTTCCTTCCTTCCTTCCTTCCTTCCTTCCTTCCTTCCTTCCTTCCGAGTGGTAGTTTGTTTTCTTTCTTTCTTTTTCTGCCTCCCTCCTTTTTCCTTCCTTCCTCTTCCTTCCTTCCTTCCTTCTCTTTTTTTGCTCTCTTACTCTCTGTCTATTTCTCTTTGTCTTTATTTCTCTCTGTCTCTTTTTCTTTCTTTTCTTTCTTTCTGCCTCCCTTTTCCTTTCTTTCTTTCTTTCTTTCTTTCTTTCTTTCTTTCTTTCTTTCTTTCTTTCTTTCTTTCTTTCTTTCTTTCTCCTTCCCTAACCTAGTCTTCCCTCAAGGTGTTCCTGGTGGTCTCCCATCCGTCACCTGGCCAGCTTAACATGAAAGGAGGTTAGCCTGCACAGGGGAGGCAGCTTTCCCAGTGGCCCATCCGCTGTTTCCTTCAGCCCCCCCCTCCCCATTGCAAGGTTCCAGGTGCAGCCCAGACTTGCAACAGAACCCCCCCCCCCAAACACACCCCGGGGGCTTTCCAGGTGAGGGGATCCTGTTCCACCTGCGAGCCCAGCACACCTTAAGGAAGGCAGGAAAAACTAGGGGGAATCCCCAGAAAATATTTGCAATATATGCAAAAATATATCCCGTGTGGCAACGGGGAAGGAGGCAGCGTGGGAAGTGTTAGATCGACATATATTTTATTCCGGTCTCCCTTTTCCCGTAAACGTCAGAAACCAGAATGGGCTGAGAATCCGCGAGATAATTGACAGTCGAGCTGAAACTCCAAGTCAAAATAGCAAACATGAGAAAATCTTTTACTCAAATTTCTCTCCCACTCTTTCTTTCTCTTTCTCTCCTCTCTCTCTCTCTGTCTCCTTCCTTCCTTCCCTCCCTCCTTCCTTCCTTCCTTGTGTTCTTTTTTTGCTCTCTTGCTCTCTGTCTATTTCTCTTTCTTTCTCTCTGTCTCTTTCTCCTTTCTTTTCTTTTTTCTTTCTCCCTCCCTCCCCCTTCCTCTTTCCTTCCTTCCTTTCTTTTCTGCTCCCTTGCTCTCTATCTATTTGTCTTTATTTCTCTGTGTCTCTTTCTCCTTCCCTCCCTCCCTTCCTTCCTTCCTTCTTTCTTTCTTTCCTTCCTTCCTTTCCTTTCTTCCTTCTTCCCTCCTTCCTTCCTTTTTCTTTTTTGTTTCTTGCTCTCTATTTCTCTTTGTCTTTATTTCTCTCTGTCTCTTTCTCCTTTCTTTCTTTCTTCCTTTCTTTTTCTTTATTTCTTCCTTTCTTTTTCTTCCCTCCTTCCTCCCTTTTTCTTTTTTGCTTCTTGCTCTCTGACTATTTCTCTTTGTCTTTATTTCTCTCTGTCTCTTTCTTTCTTTCTTTCTTTCTTTCTTTCTTTCTTTCTTTCTTTCTTTCTTCCTTCCTTCCTTCCTTCCCTCCTTCCTCCCTTTTTCTTTTTTGCTGTCTTGCTCTCTGACTATTTTTTTGTCTTTATTTCTTTTTGTTTCTTCTTTCTTTTCTTTCTTTTTTCTTTCTTTCTCTTTCTTTCTTTCTTTCTTTCTTTCTTTCTTTCTTTCTTTCTTTCTTTCTTTCTTCCCTCCCTCCTTCCTGCCTTACTTTTTCTTTTTTGCTGTCTTGCTCTTTGTGTATTTCTCTTTGTCTTTATTTCTCTCTGTCTCTTTCTTCTCTCTCTCTCTCTCTCTTCCTTCCTTCCTTCCTTCCTTCCTTCCTCTTTCTCACCCAATCTCTGCTCCTTTCTCTCCACCAGCCTACAACGACTCTCGGCAAGCGGCCATGAACGAATTCTGCCAGCCGGGCCGTTACAACGAACAGCCCGACAACGGGGTCTTGAACTACCCCAAGAGGGCCTGCCAGTTCAACCGCACATTCTTGAGGGACTGTTCGGGACTCAACGACTCGACTTACGGCTACCAGGAGGGACGGCCTTGCATCCTGGTCAAAATGAACCGGGTGGGTTGGTGGAACATTGGGGGGGGGTGAGGGTCTCCCCAGAGGGGAGGGGCGGTTAGGGGGCAGAGGAGACGAAGAAGAAGCAATTGGGGCTGGGGGGTGTAGCAAAGGGGCTTTTTAAAATTGCTTGTGGCTTCCTGGCCAATGAAGTTAGTCCTCCACTTAACGACCACCATCATAAAGCCAACCAATTTAGTTTGCTAAGTGAGAGCTTTGTTAAGGGAATTATGCCCCATTGGACGACCGTTTTGGCCACCGTTGTTAAGCGAATCGTTGCAGTTATTAAGTGAATCAGAAGGTCGCAAAAGGGGATCCCTCAACCCCGGGAAACCGTAACCGTCATAAATAGGAACCAGTTTCCACGCGCCTGAATTTTGATCCTGTCACCTTGGGGAAGGCTGTGATAGTCACAGGTGTGAAAATTGGTCGTAAGTCCCTTTTCTCAGTGGTGTTGTGGCTTTGATTGGTCGCTAAATGAACTGTTGTAAGTCGAGGACTAATTGTAACACCTTTTCTCCTGCCAGTCATTTGGGGTGACGAGAATTAGAGCGGCACATTGCCCACTCATGTTCTGGACCAGGGGTCTTCAAACTCGGCCTTTTGATGACTTGTGGACTTCAACTCCCAGAATTCCTCAGCCAGGCACGCTGGCTGAGGAATTCTGGGAGTTGAAGTCCACAAGTCACCAAAGGGTCCTAGTTCCCTCACGCTGGCTGAGGAATTCTGAGAGTTGAAGTCCACAAGTCACCAAAGGGTCCTAGTTCCCGCACGCTGGCTGAGGAATTCTGGGAATTGAAGTCCACAAGTCACCAAAGGGTCCTAGTTCCCTCACGCTGGCTGAGGAATTCTGGGAATTGAAGTCCACAAGTCACCAAAGGGTCCCAGTTCCCTCACGCTGGCTGAGGAATTCTGGGAGTTGAAGTCCACAAGTCACCAAAGGGTCCTAGTTCCCTCACGCTGGCTGAGGAATTCTGGGAATTGAAGTCCACGAGTCACCAAAGGGTCCTAGTTCCCTCACGCTGGCTAAGGAATTCTGGGAGTTGAAGTCCATGAGTCATAAAAGGGTCACAGTTCCCTCACGCTGGCTGAGGAATTCTGGGAGTTGAAGTCCACGAGTCACAAAAGGGTCATAGTTCCCTCACGCTGGCTGAGGAATTCTGGGAATTGAAGTCCACAAGTCAACAAAGGGCCAAGTTTGAAGGCCCCAGCTTGTGGACCACCGAGAACCAATCAGAGGTCCTAAACCAGTGTTTGTGCCCACTGGATGATGGGTGGACTTCAACTCCCATAATTCCCCAGCCAGCAAGGTTTTACCAGAGTTAAGCACGGATAGGACAAGAACAAATATCTCCCCTCCCTTTTTTTTTTAATTGAACAACTCTCTTAGTAGATGGTGGGAAGGCGGTCGATGTACTATAACTTGATTTCAGCAAAGTGTGTGGGGGGGGGAAATAAATAAAAATAAATTAATGAAGGAGTTAAAGGTGAGCTAGATGGCACAAGAGTTAAATGGAAAACTTGATCGGTTGCCTGGGGGATTCTGGGAGTTGAAGTGCCCCCCCCCATCTTCCGCTGGCCGAGTTTGAAAAAGTTCTCCTTCCTTTCGTAGGTCATCAAATTCTACGCAGGCGCCAACCAGCCCATGAACATCTCCTGCACGGCCAAGGTAAAGAGACCCCCTCCCCTCCATCTCTCCCCCTCCCCACTTTCTCTGTCTTCTTCTCCATCTCTTGTTTCTTTGCTCTTGGTGTTCACACATTTTATCTACTCACTCTGCACACCTCTTCGGTTCTATCGGAAATCCAATGTTCTCTGCTGACAGATACCGAGATCCACGCAGGAGGTAAGGGTTCCTCTCCTTGAGGATAAGACGGGCCGGTTTGGGGCTCCTTAAAAACCCGCTACGTAGTTGCTCAAAGTTGCTTTTAGGGCGATAGTAGGATAGACTCCACCTTGCTTCAGGAGGCAGCCATAGAGCAGGCTCTGATACAGGAGAATACGCCACTGATGATGTTACCTAGATGGGTCGTGAGACGTCTGCAAGGAAACCACCCAGCTCAGAGAGCACCAGGGACCCCACAGCTCTCCTCCTCCTCCTCCTCCTCCTCCTCCTCCTCCTCCTCCTCCTCCTCCTCCTCTCCACAAACCCCACTCCTTTCTAGCCCGGATGATGTTACCTAGTTGGGTCATGAAACGTCTGCAAGAAAACAACCAAACTCAGCACGGACGATCCCACAATCTTCCTCCTCCTCCTCTTCCTCTTCCTCTTCCTCCTCCTCTTCCTCTTCCTCCTCCTCCTCCTCCTCTCCACAAACCCCACTCCTTTCTAGCCCGGATGATGTTACCTACTTGGGTCATGAAACGTCTGCAAGAAAACAACCAAACTCAGCACGGACGATCCCACAATCTTCCTCCTCCTCCTCCTCCTCCTCCTCCTCCTCCTTCCTCTTCCTCTTCCTCTTCCTCCTCCTCTTCCTCTTCCTCCTCCTCCTCCTCCTCTCCACAAACCCCACTCCTTTCTAGCCCGGATGATGTTACCTAGTTGGGTCATGAAACGTCTGCAAGAAAACAACCAAACTCAGCACGGACGATCCCACAATCTTCCTCCTTCTCCTCCTCCTCCTCCACCTCCTCCTCCTCCTCCTCTCTCCACAAACCCCACTCCTTTCTAGCCCTGAAGACGTTACCTCGTTGGGTTATGAAACGTCTGCAAGAAAACAACACAAAAGGTCCAATTCTACTATATTTTGGCTATCTCAAGAATGGAAAATTTGGTTAGCCCTCCACTTACCACAGCCCATTTACTGACCGTTCAAAGTTACAACAGCCCTGGAAAAAGGACCGTTTCTCACACTTACGACCGTTGCAGCAACCGACTCGTATTTATGACGGTCGCCGTCTCCCGGGGCCACGTCATCCGCCTTTCGCGTCCTCCTTACAAGCAAAGTCAACAGTTGAGGCGACTCAACGGCGGAGGCCAGAAACGTCGTCCAGCGGGGCAACGTTCACCCCAAAACTGTCTCGTTTAGCAGCGGAAATTTCCGGCCTCCATCACGGTCGTATGTTGAGGAGGACCTGCATCCGGGGCCTTATTTTGTGCGGGAAAAAAAATCTCCCGATTCCAAGGATTTTGGGGAAAGTGGCGTTTGCCCCCCCCCCTTAAAAAAATAAAATAGGGGCGAAAGCTGCACAAATTGACACTTTGGCTGTCTCCTGTAGCAGAGCCTCCAGCTTCCGTGCCTGCTTCCTTCGGGAGGTGGGGGAGAACAGGAATTCTGCTTGCCCCCCAACGCCCAGCCACGAATTTTCCACGGCTTCCAACGCCTGCATGAGCCACTTCCGCACCTCTCCCCAAAAATGTAGAATCTCTGGACCTTCGGCTCAACTTTGCAAACCTTTCCATCCACCACCCCGCCAACTTTGCAGGGAGCGATTTCCCCCCCCCAACCTCATTTCATTCCTCTTTCTTTACTAACCTGTTCATTTCGTTTACTAATCCATCCGTCCGTCCGACGTTCTCGCCCGTCCCTTCCTGCCTGTTGGTTTGCATGTTCGCCTGTCCTTCCTTCTCCTCCGTTTTTCCACCGTCAGAAGAAGGAAACCATCCACGAAGACGAGAGCTTTGTAAGAGTCCAGGAGGGAGGGGAGGGGGCTTCATTTGAGGGGGGGAGGGCACGGTGGAAGAATTTAGTTTCAGCGTTTAAAAGACGCACGCAGGAAGAGTGGGAGAGATGGCGCAGCTAAGCCCAATCGTGGCTTGTCAGGATCGTTTATTAACGCACAATAAATAGAAATGATTGAAGGCGCAACGGTGTTTATTTTGGTTGGGGAGGGGGCCAAACACAGGCTATCCTTTTGACACCCCCTCCCCTATTTTTCACCTTCCCAGAAAGAGGAGGAGATGCAGAAGCTGGGAGAGATAGCCATGTTTCCCGCCGAGGGCAACATCGATCTAATGTACTTCCCGTATTATGGGAAGAAAATTCACGTGAGTATGGATGCTGTGCGCCTTACCCGGCCAGGTGCATGATGGGAAATTCCCAGATTTTGGTCCAGGGGATGTTTGCTGCGCACCGAGGCGTTTTATATCACACATTTTATTTTCCCGTCCTCTTCTTCTTCTTTTTTTTTTTTTCTCAACCCAACCTGGCCAAGGGCAGGCTGGGAAAAAATTCCCACGTTTTGGACCCTTGGGGTATTTTGGACAGAGGAGTTTTATAAATCGCAAGTTTCATTTATTTATATGTTTTTTTGACCCAGTTCAGTCTTTGCTGCCGCTTTTAATAATAATAATAATAATAATAATAATAATAATAATAATAATAATAATAATATCATTTGCCTGTAAGCAAAAACTGGTGGGATCATAAAATAGAGAAAGTCATAGAAAATGATAAAATTAAACTGCTCTGGGACTTCAGAATTCAAACAGACAAACACCTGCCACACAACACCCCAGACTTGACAATTGTCGATAAGAAAGACAAAAAAGTCTGGATAGCGGACGTAGCAGTGCCTGGAGATAGCAGAATAGACGAGAAAGAACTGGAGAAGATCACAAAATACAAAGACCTACAAATAGAAATAGAAAGACTGTGGCAAAAGCAAGCAAGGGTAGTACCAATAGTCATAGGCTCCTTGGGTGCAATCCCAAAACAACTGGAGCACCACTTGAACACCATTGGCATTGACAAATTCGCTATTAGTCAATTGCAAAAGGCGGCCTTATTAGGAACTGCTTCCATCCTGCGACGATACCTGTAATACCATCAAACATCCACATCTGCCTATCCCAGGTCCTGGGTAAGGACTCGATAGGTAGACAAAATGCCAAATCCAGTCTGAACATCTGGCTGACTGTGCGATGATCCATAGTAATAATAATAAAGTTGGAAGGGACCTTGGAGGTCATCTAGTCCAACCCCCTGCTCAGGCAGGAATCCCTATGGTACCATTTCAGACAAATCGGGAAAATTCTCCTTAGTTCCAGGTTAGTTCCAGGTTGCTTCTCTCTTTGAGGAGTTTCCATCCGTTGCTTCTTTTCCTGCCTTCAGGCGCTTTGGAGAATAGGTGGACCCCCCCCCCACTCCTCTTTGGCAGCCCCCCAAATACTGGAATACTGCTCTCCTGTCCCCCCCCTCCTCTGTTTTGACAAATAGGAAAAAAAGACGGGGAAGTGCGTGGCCTAACTTTTTCTCTGACTGCTATCCTATCCTCCCCACCCTCTGTTTTGATAAATAGGCTACACCAGGGGTTCTCAACCTTGGTAACTTTAAGACTTGTGCACTTCAACTCCCAGAATTCCTCAGCTGGCTGAGGAATTCTGGGAGTTGAAGTCCACAAGTCTTAAAGTTGCCAAGGTTGAGAACCCCTGGGCTACACGCTTCCTAATCTTTTTTCCTAACTTTTTCTCTCTTTTGTGGGTCTTGGGAGTTGGGGGTGAGATTCCCCCCCCCCTTTTTTAAAAAAAAATTATTTTTCAATTCCAGGTCAACTACACCCAGCCCGTGGTGGCGGTCAAGTTCCTCAACCTCACTTTTAACCACGAGCACAACGTGGAGTGTAAGATTAACGCCGCCAACATTAAGACCGACGAACGAGACAAGTTTGCCGGACGCGTGGCTTTCAAAATCCGGGTCAACAAAAAATGAAGCTGACCCCCTTCCCCCCCCCTCCTCCTCCTCTCCTCCATCTCCTCGACCCCCCCAAAACCAGCTCCTTCCCGGTGACTCTTGGCAATCCCAACACAGAGCTTACAACGACTAACAGGTCCGAAGCTGACGGAAATTGGGGGGAGGGTGATGGATTTAGGGGCTCCCCTTTGGCCGCTGCTGTTCACCTCTGTCTCACTAACCTTTGCTGTTAGACAATCCCACCTCTCGTGTTGACCCAACAACGAAGGGTTTGCTCCCACCTTATCTTCTCATAGAGCCCCTCACCCACCCAATACTCGGTGACCCCTTGATTGAGTCTAACATCCCAACGGTGTCCGGCAAGGAGAGGCTCACCCTTTTGGGCCCTCGTCCTGGCGGCGCTCCCTGTTTCCCCTGGAGAAGTTTCCTAATATAATAATAAATGTATATAGATATTTTTATATATATATATATATAAAAGTATATATTAAAAATTAAGGTACCGCGGAATCTAGGTATTTCCCTGCTATAATATGCATGGATCGGGGCTGGAAGACGGTAGCCAGGATAGCTAGTTTTGTCTGCCACCGGGAATGCCTTGCGCCCCCAAAGCTTGTGGCCGTCGCGACAGGGAAGGCAGCTGGGGGTTGGTGTGTGAGTGGGGGGGGGGCCCATTGATTGCAGGAGGGCTCACTTCTTCGGTAGACCCTGCCCAGTTTACATAGCCCTGGTGCTTCTCAACCAAGGCACCTTGAGGATGGGTGGACTTCAGTTCCCAGAATTCCTCAGAATTGTGCTGTCATGGGGTTATTTTTTCCATTTTATGCTGAAGTCAAAGGTATGTTACGTCTGCCGCATTCCCGCCATCTATTTAAAAAGTTGTATGACATCCACCGCATTCCCACCCTCTATCAACCCAGTTATGACATCTGCCGCATTCCCACCATCTTTTAAAAAGGCTATGACATCTACCACATTCCCACTATTTAAAAAGTTATATTACATCTACTGCATTCCCACCTTCTATTAAAAAAGTTATATAACATCTACCACATTTCCACCATCTTTTTAAAAAGTTATAGGACATCTACCGCATGCCCACCATCTATGTAAAAGGTTATATTGCATCTACCGTATTCCCACCATCTATTAAGAGTTATATGACATCTACTGCATTCCCACCATCTTTTGTAAAAAGTTATATTATATCTACCGCATTCCCACCATCTATCAAAAAAGTTATATCTACCGCATTCCCACAATCTATTAAAAAAGTTATATGACATCTACTGCATTCCCATCTTTTTAAAAAAGTTATATTACATCTACCACATTCCCACCATCTATCAAAAAAGTTATATTACATCTACCGCATTCCCACCATCTATGTAAAAGGTTATATTGCATCTACCGTATTCCCACCATCTATTAAGAGTTATATGACATCTACTGCATTCCCACCATCTTTTGTAAAAAGTTATATTACATCTACCGCATTCCCACCATCTATCAAAAAAGTTATATTACATCTACCGCATTCCCACCACCTATTTAAATAGTTATATGACATCTACCACATCCCCACCATCTATCAAAAAAGTTATGACATCTACCACATTCCCACCATCTATCAAAAAAGTTATATTACATCTACCGCATTCCTACCATCTATTTAAAAAGTTATATTACATCTACCACATTTCCACCACCTATTTAAATAGTTATATTACATCTACCACATCCCCACCATCTATCAAAAAAGTTATGACATCTACCACATTCTCACCATCTATTAAAAAAGTTATATTACATCTACCGCATTCCCACCATCTACAGTGGAAATGCAGTAGATGTCATATCAGATGGATCAAAATTTACATAATTTGATGAGAAGTTCTGGGAGCTGTAATCCACTCATCGTCAAGGTGCCAAAGTTGAGAAACACTATACTGGGTGCAGGTGCAAAATTATGCTGATTTTGCATGAGGCTAGTCCTCAAGAAGAAAAACGTCTAGGAAGCTGGCTTGGCCTCAAAACTCCTAAACTGGGCTAGGAGTGCAATTGCACAAATGCAGCGGCTTACGGGCATGGCGGCTGTTGTACGACAGCCCTGGTGTGCGGTCTCCTTGCAAAATTAAACTGCCATGGCATCTGTGAATGCAGTTTGTTGGTTTTAATTTCTAACCCTGCATTTCCGCTTTCCCGTTCTTTTTTTCCTGTCCTAGGATCGACACAAACTGTCTCTATTCATTAGTGTATAGTTGTTTAAATCTGTTGTAATAGCAGCACCTTGCACTACTATAAATCAAATTCCAGTTTCCACCATAACCATGGGGGAAGAAATTCTTGACTGAACTAATGACGATCTTTTACCCAATGTTAGTTAACGGTTGGAGATTTTTTGCTTTCTCTAGAAACTCTCCTGCAACATCTGTTCTCTCTCTATTCGTTTGGCAAAAGAAAAAAGAAAAAAATAAGTATTTTAAACAAAAAGGAGGGTTTTTTTAAAAACTTTCTTTGCGTTTTATCGTCGTGGTAATATTAAAATGTCCTCCCTTTCTGGTTTAAAGATGCACCTTTGAAGAATATGTATGTATGAATGGCACTCATAACTTTAAAAACTCCTCTGCTTTTTAACTTTCTTGTTTTTTTTCTTTTTTGGTCTTGGATTTTATTTGCAGAATTATTTAATTGCCTGTATCAGATTTACTGTGAAAGAAGAGAAATAAAACTTTAAAAAAACAAATCAACGTCCTAATGTGTTTTGTTTTTTTTTAAATAGCAAAACGGGCGTAGAGGAACACAAGTGTGGAATTTCAGCTTTAAGGAAATGCAAAGCAGGATGTGTATTAATAATCTTGGTTTTATGGAAGCATGTAGACCAGTGGTTCTCAACCTGTGGGTCGGGACCCCATTTGGGGTCGAACGACCATTTCACGGGAGTCACCAAACAACGCAGTCCGCCATTTTTCCCCCCTTTTCCTTAGCTGTGCTACTCCCTTTTATTCTCTTGGCTTTTGAAAGCCAATAGAATAGACTCTCTTGAATAGAGTCTAATTCTATTGGCTTTCAAAAGCCAATAGGAATTGTCCAGGCTGTCTCTGCCCTGCTGAGCCCACCAAAAGTCCCATTCTGCAAACGGTGCTGCAGCAGTTGAGTAGTCCTCGACTTACGACCGGTTGAGTAGTCCTCGACTTACGACCGGTTGGGGTCGCGGCATTAAAAAGGTTGAGAACCACTGATGTAGACATTGTAGCTGAAGCCATCTTAGATCTCTTCCGCTCCCAGAATGCCGATTAAGATACGTGGATTTCAACTCCCAGAATTCCCTGGCACTAACGCAGGTAGAGTCATTGTGGTTTGTTTACTCTCTTTTAATCCCTTTCTTTTACTGCAGGGGTCTTCAACCTTGGCCCTTGCTGGGGAGGCAGGGACCCTCCCCGAAAATCTCTGAAGTTTTTTTTCCTCTGCAGGGCACCCTTTGCACCTAAGGGAGCCCCCGAAATATTTTTACGTCCCCCCCCCCCCTTCGTCTCCCTTTCTTCCTTGGATTTTGCAACAGGCTCCATTAGGATTCCAGCCTGCAAGGAGCAAAATGTCATTTAATTAGGAGCCAGGTGTGATTAATTAGGCGGTGATCATGTTCTCTCTCAATAATTGATTGTAAACCATGCTGTGCAACAGCTCAAAAGAGCCGACGGGATGCAAGCAATCGGGAGCGCATGGATAAGGGGGTCCTTTGCCAGATCTTCCCTCATCCACAGACAGACATTTGTGGCAGTAAAGGAGAATATTTGTAGCCCTAAGCCAGTGGTGGCGAACCTATGGCACGGGTGCCAGAGGTGGCACTCAGAGCCCTCTCTGTGGGCACGCGCACCGTCGCCCCAGTCCTAGGCCTTCAGCTGGGTTTTATAAAACCTTTTCGCTTTAGGCCTCTGCCGCCATGTGCAAAAAAAAAAGGGTTCAATCAGTCAGTCAATTTCAACTTCTTGCAGGTAAAGAAAGATCTGGCAAAGTTGGAATTGATTGATTGAACTTTTTAGTCCCACCCAGTCTGCCGTTACCGCCGCAGCCACGCCCACCCAATGGGCCACACCCACCCGGTACCCGATGATGCATAAGTGGGTTTTGGGTTGCGGTTTGGGCACTCGGTCTCTCAAACGTTCGCCATCACTGCCCTAAGCTCTCTCAGCTTGGTGGGGTTTTTTTGCAGACGTTTCATGACCCAACTAGGCAACATCATCAGTGCTAGAAGGAAGTTTGCGAGGAGGAGAAGGAAAAGGAACAAGAGGTCCTTGATGCTCTCTGATCTTGGTGGTTTTCCTGCAGACGTTTCGTGACCCGATTACGTAACATCATCAGGGCTAGAAAGGAGAGGAGTTTGCACCGTCTAGTGCTGATGATGTTACCTAGTTGAGTCACAAAACAACTGCAACAAAACAACCAAGTCAGAGAGCACCAAGGACCCATAATCCTCCTCCTCCTCCTCCTCCTCCTCCCCCCTGCAACCTCCCCTTTCTACTCATACTGTTCCCTAGCTGGGTCATGAGACGTCTGCAAGAAAACCTTCAAACTCAGAAAGCACCAAGGACCCCACAGTCGTCGTCCTCCTCCTCCCCCTCCTCCTCCTCCTCTCCACAAACTCCCTCCCTCCTAACACTGATGCTGTTTCCTAGTTGGTTCATGAGACGTCTGCAAGAAAACCACCCAGCTGAGAGAACACCAAAGACTCCACAGTCCTCTTCCTCCTCCTCCTCCACCTCTCCGCAAATCCCTCCTCCTCCTAGCATTGATGACGTTCCCTAGTTGGGTCATGAAATGTCTGCAAGAAAACCACCCAGCTCAGAGAATACCAACGACCCACAGTCGTCCTCCTCCTCCTCCTCCTCCCTTCCAGCACTGATGACGTTCCCTAGTTGGCTCACGAGATGTCTACAAGAAAGCAACCCGGATCAGAGACCACTAAGGACCACCCCTCACAGATATTTGTCCCCCCAAACGTCTGCAAATTCAGCTTCAGGACTCCACGGGCGACCAAACGGACCCATGTTTCTGCGGGGGGGGGGGAGGAAGTGCGAGTTTTATTTTTAGCCGCTCTCCCTGCTCTAGCGAGGAGCTGAACTGCAGCGTGGCTGCCAAATTGGCAAATAAATACCCTTTTTTTTCTTCTTCTTCTCAAGAGGGGTGCCAAACCCGTCTTAAGGCAGGGGGGCACGGATGCTGTGTTCCTCCCTGCCTCCCCCAAGGGATTTGCAAGCTTTGAGAGGTGGCAAATCCTGGGGGGGGGGGGAGAGGAGGGGGGGATGCCGAGTTTCTCCCCCCCCCACAGGCCATTTTCTGCAGCATCAGCTCACTGCCGAAATCGCAAACACCCCCCCCCCCGCCGCCCGATCTGCGGGCAGGAGCTGGCGCATCCCAAAAGTGGGACAGTTGCCACGGCGACGGGGAGCGCGCTTCTCTGCAGGAAGAGGGTTGCCGTGGTGACGAAGGAGCCCTCCATTCATTGCAAAGAAGGGAAAGATTCAGGGATGGTGGAAGGGTCGGGGGGGAGGAGGGGGGAGGAGGGGAGAAACTGTGGCTTTGCTGGGAAGTACAGCAACCCCCCTCCCGAGAGAGAGAGAGAGAGAGAGAGAGGGTTAGATAGATAGATAGGTAGGTAGGTAGGTAGGTAGGTAGGTAGGTAGGTAGGTAGGTAGGTAGGTAGGTAGATAGATAGATAGATAGATAGATAGATAGATAGATAGATAGATAGATAGATAGATAGATAGATAGATAGAAATAGGGAGTTAGATAGATAAATAGATACAGATAGATATAGAGATAGATAGATAGATAGATAGATAGATAGATAGATAGATAGATAGATAGATAGATAGATAGATAAACAGAAATAGACAGAGAAAGAAAGAGATAAACAGATAGACATAGATAGATAAATAGATATAGATAAATAGATAAATAGAGATAGATAAATAGACAGACAGACAGACAGATAGATAGATAGATAAACAGAGATAGACATAGACATAGATAGATAGATAGATAGACAGATAAATAGATAGATAGATAAACACATAGAGATACATAGATAGATAGATAGATAAACATAAATAGAGATAGATAAATAGAGATAGATAGATAGATAAAAAGATAAATAGAGAGATAGATAGATAGATAGATAATATAGATAGAGATAGATAGATAGATAAACAGAAATAGAGAGAAAGAGATAAACAGATACATAGATAGATAAATAGATATAGATAAATAGATAGATAGAGATAGATAAATAGACAGACAGACAGATAGATAGATAAACAGAGATAGACATAGATAGATAGATAGATAGATAGATAGATAGATAGATAGATAGAAATAGGGAGTTAGATAGATAAATAGATACAGATAGATATAGAGATAGATAGATAGATAGATAGATAGATAGATAGATAGATAGATAGATGATAAACAGAAATAGACAGAGAAAGAAAGAGATAAACAGATAGACATAGATAGATAAATAGATATAGATAAATAGATAAATAGAGATAGATAAATAGACAGACAGACAGACAGATAGATAGATAGATAGATAAACAGAGATAGACATAGACATAGATAGATAGATAGATAGATAGACAGATAAATAGATAGATAGATAAACACATAGAGATACATAGATAGATAGATAGATAGATAGATAGATAGATAGATAAACATAAATAGAGATAGATAAATAGAGATAGATAGATAGATAAAAAGATAAATAGAGAGATAGATAGATAGATAATATAGATAGAGATAGATAGATAGATAAACAGAAATAGAGAGAAAGAGATAAACAGATACATAGATAGATAAATAGATATAGATAGATAGAGATAGATAAATAGACAGACAGACAGATAGATAGATAAACAGAGATAGACATAGATAGATAGATAGATAGATAGATAGATAGATAGATAGATAGATAGATAGATAGACAGACAGATAAATAGAGATAGACATAGAGAAATAGAGATAGATAGGTAGATATAGATATAGATATAGATATATAGATATCCATCCATATCTTGGGGAGCTCTGGAAAAAGAGACCCACGGGCGCTAGAATTCCCTAGAGATCTCTGGGTGCAAAAAAAACGCAGCGCCGCGAGATTTAGAGACCCTTTTTGCTAAATTCTAAAAAAAAAAGGCCGTTTTCTTCTTAGCCTTTCTGCCAGATTTAAGCCGCCTGCGAGCGCCAGATTTATCCAGGATTTGTAATCGGATTTGAGGAAGAAGTGGGTCAACTGCGGGGCTCCGGGGCTGTGCAGCTCAGCGCTTGCTCGCCCTGGGGAAGATTCACTTTGCAGGTTGTCCTGACTTACGACAGTCCGTTTAGTGACCTGAAAGAAGAAAGAGAGGCCCGTTTCCCAGACTTAACGACAGCATCCCCGTGGTCACCGTGATCGAAATTCGGACACTTGGCAACTGACTCGTATTTCTGACGGTCGCAGCGTCCCTCTGTGTGTGTGTGTGTGTGTCAGGCGATTGTCCCCTTTAGTGACCGTCTGACCGGCAAAGTCAAGGCAAAGTCTACCATTGCAAAAAGTTAGCCACACGGTTCTTGAGTTAGTCCAACTTCTCCATCGACTTTGCTCGTCCGACGGTTGCAAAAGGGGGACGCGTGATCCCCAGACACCGCGACCGTCGTAAGTGCGAGTCGGTGGCCGAGCGTCTGAATTTCGATCCCGCGACCGCA